GTTCGTCAGTCCACCTTGTTCATTATATTCCACAAATAAGCGAGATCATGTGCCATTTGTCTTTCTGATTGGCTTATTTTGCTTAGCATAATACTCGTGAGGTCCCTCCATTTGTCTCAAAGAATAAGAGATCTTTCTTTCTTACAGCTGCATAGTATTTCATTGTGTATATGTACCATAGCTTTTTTATCCACTTGTCTATTGATGGACACTTGGGGTGTTTCCAGATCTTGGTGACGGTAAATAGTGCTGCTATGAACATAGGGGTACATATATTCTTTCTGATTGGTGTTTCAGGCTTCTTAGGATATATTCCTAGAAGTGGGATCACTGGGTCAAATGGCAATTGAATTTTTAATTTTTTGCGGAAACACCATAGTGTTTTCCATAGTGGCTATACCAGTATACATTCCCACCAGCAGTGTACTAGAGTCCCCTTTTCTCCACACCCTGGCCAGCACTTATTGTTTGATAATTTGTTGATGGCTATACTGAGTTTTTAAATGTCTTTATTCTAACCTCATATTTGATTGATATCTTGGCAGGACACAGAAATCTGAGTTCAAATCCATTTCCCCAGAGTTGCAATGAGAATCTAATACCACATCAATTCTTGTTCCTATTAAGGTGATTCTTTTTCCTTTCTGGAAATTTTTAGTATCTTCGCTTCACCAGTGTTTTTATAAAATTTCAAGAGGACATGTTTATGTATGCCTTTTTATATGGTGTGTGGCACTCAGTGGCTCCTTTCAACCAAAAGACTTGTGTTCTGTGCTTGATTCTGTGGACAGTGACTAGAGGGAACATGAGAGGCTGAGTGGGAGGGTCATATTCTGTTTCTTCTTCTTCTTTTTTTTTTATTTTGATTCTCTGTGTTGGAATGATAAGTTTGACCTTTTATTTTTGAGTAGTTTTATGAAAACGTGAATGCTGCACACTCTGTAATTTTAAATGTAGAGGTGGGTTTTTTTTTTTTTCTTTCTTTTTCAAAACCAGGCCTATGAAAATCAAGCAAATTTTAAGCACCATGGTGGGTCCGGTAATCATCTCTAAAATCACCAACTGCTGGTGGTCTCTTACTTCATTGTTCACCCGTAAATAAAAGAGAAACTGTTAGTAATAACACCACAGCCCTACCCACAGAGTCCTATTAAATAATTACGTTGAAACATGACAGATTTGGACATCCGAGGAAGCCTTTCTTTCCTAATATACTTTCCCCGCTCTCTCTAAGGCTTGTGGTCTTCCTAGAAAAGGAGATGGGAGGTGTGTGAGCAGTATTTGCTGTGGGATGAACAGTTAGCTTTTAAAGGGCTGATTATTACATTCAGTTAAGGAAGAAAGTGGTAGAAGGAAAGAAGAAAACAGTAAGGAGGACGAAAGGCAGGCAGGCAGGAAGGCAGGCAGGAAGGAAGGGAAGGAAGGAACCATATTCTGTTTCTGATCAACCACTGGTTACACAGATGTATTGTTTCCCTTAAGGAGAAAAATAGGAATTTCAAGAATTCCCATTGGGTACCTGCTCTGTGAATCCACCCTATCACCCTAATCTCTCCAATTCTCTCCATCTTGTATTGATGATTCTATATTATTTTTTGATAAACTCTTCCTCTCCAATTTTCCCTTTCTTTCTTCACAGTCTCCAGTTAGTTAGGTGTTAAACTCTTGAAATGGCCCTCTATATCTCTTCTGTCTCTCTCTTTGCTCTTCTCCACTGTGTGTGTGCATGCATGTGCATGCCAGAGATATCCTTCACTTTAGTCAGGCTTTATGTTGGAATTTTAATTTTGGTACTTGTATTTTAAAACTCTAATAGCTCATTTTTGTGGTAGCATTCTGTTTTCATAACATTCTATTCTTATTTTATATTATCTCTCCGTATAGTTATTATTTTTAAAAAGACTTTAATTTTTGAAGTTCTGGACTTACACAAAACTGAGCAGATAGAGTTCCTATACACCTATACCCAGTTTCTCCTACTACTACCATCTTATATTAGCATTAGTTATAATTAATAAACCAATATTGATACATTATTACTACTATTATTAAAGACCACACTTTATTCATATCATATTTCCTTAGTTTTTACCTAATGTCTTTTATCTGTGCCAGTATCCCATCCAGAATCCCATATTACATTTAGTTGCCATGCCTCCTTAGACTTCTTATGGCTGTGACAGTTTCTCAGACTTTCCTTGTTTTGATGACCTTGACAGTTTTGAGGAGTACTGGTCAGATTCTATCTAGGAGGTTTCTCTATTGGAATTTGTCTGTTTGTTGTTTATTTATGTTTGTAAGTAAATGCCAGGCTATATATACTGTATATTTGGGAACCAGGCAAAGAGTCAACTGGTCAACTGTTCTATATACGAACCTTCAATGAATCCCCATGTCTAATATTTCTCATTAGATCTGCTAACCCTGAATTTACAGCCTCACTGGGATCCCAATGAGCAGTTTAAAGCAGAGTGGCTCACGTCTTCACAGCAGCCCACACACAGTTCCTCATTCTGGGCTGTGGTTTTCTTAACCTGCTTCTGCTTTCTATCTCTAAGAAATACTGAAATCTCTTGTACATTTATTTATTTTCTCTTCTGTTTTCTACCATCCCATTCACTTTCATTGGTTTATTCCTTTTAAGTTTCTTTATTTTAATTTCAGATGAGTTTGGGAAAAAACGGGAGTAGAATGTATCTATTCATTCTGTCACCTTTTACCAGAAGACTCCACAAGTCCACTTCTTAAATAAAAATAAAAGTTCTCCTTAGATTTAAGGAAATATAAATGTCCAATAACTCACAATTATAATTTTATTGTTGTTTGTTTGTAGTTATCTTGATACAGACATAATTTATATTCCTGTCAAAGCTTTTATTAAAGTTTCTGATAAAACTCAGTCAAGTAGGAAAAAGAATTCACCCATATGAACCCTTCATGAAGGGACTATGTATAGAGTCACGGGTAGGTTAAGGAAACAAACAAGGGGATGGTGAGGAACTGGGGAGAAGCAACAGAATGATACTGTTACCATCCTAGGACCAAAGGGACAAGAGAAGGAATAGATTTATGGGAGCCCATAGGCTCTAGAACTATGGAGAAGGGGCTGTTCAGCAGAAGCTGTATTACAGAGAGATACAGTTACTGTGCTAATGCAGAAAGTAGGGGGAAATAGCAACTTTTTTCTCCTTTCCCTTCTCATCTTTTGGAAGACTAGACTTTGGTCAGACTCAACCAGAGGCTAGTCAGCAAAAGGGGCCCAGAAGATGGAGTTTGTAGGAGTCAGAGCAGGACCAAGAATGAATCAAGGAGGTGAGAGTAAGAAGTGGACTGGGGCCCTGGCCGGTTTGGCTCAGCGGTTAGAGCGTCGGCCTGCGGTCCGGAGAGACCCGGGTTCGGTTCCCGCTAAGGGCATGTACCTCGGTTGCAGTTTGTCCCCGGCCCTGGGTGGTCGTGCGGGTGGCAGCCACTCGATGTGTCCCTTTCACATCGATGTTTCCCTCTCTCTCTTCCTCTCTCCCTCCCACTCTATCTGTACAAAAATGGAAAAATGTCCTCGGGTGAGGATAAAAAAAAAAAAAAAAAAAAGAAGTGGACTGGGAACTGGTATTAAAACAATATTTTATTAGGAATACAGTTCTAAAATTGAATTATTTGCAATTTCACAAAAACATATTTAATATTGGATATTATGTATAATGGTCTTGATTAAACGTAAAAAACTATTAAGAATCCTCCTCATGAGCATTTTTTCAAGGGGAATAAAAACATGCAGCAGATGAGTTTAAGGATAATCAAGGCCATCACACAAATTAAGACAAGCGCAAAGACTCTGAATATAAATCATAACCAAACTTCGTATTCTGAACATGGAAAATTGTTACTATAATTAAAAATCTATGTCACATGATGTTAGAAGTCAGGACAGTGGTTACCTTAGGGTGGCAGAGATTGGGTGGGAGCATGAGATTTGAGGGTACTGGTGATGTTTTGTTTCTTGATATAGGTGCTAGCTACATAGAGGTGTGTTCATGTTATGAAAATTCACTGACTGGTTGACTGGTGCATTTGTGATCTGTGTTTTTGTTTTTTGGAGTGTGTAAAAACTATGTCAATATATTTTTCTGCTCTTCTTTAGGCATCCTTACTGACAGTCAACAGGATTTATCAGAACTAAAACAATGATGTGCATCCAACAGAAATGAAAGGCAGACCTTAGCTTCAAGGAATTTATGATATGCTTAGGAAAACTGAATATTTAGACATAAAATTAAGAATACTAACAAGCGCCCTGGCCAGTTTGGCTCAGCGGTTAGAGCGTCGGCCTGCAGTCCTGAGAGACCCGGGTTTGGTTCCCGCTAAGGGCGTGTACCTCGGTTGCAGTTTGTCCCCGGCCCTGGTCGGTTGTGCGGGTGGCAGCCACTCGATGTGTTCCTTTCACATCGATGTTTCTCTCTCTCTGTTCCTCTCTCTCCCTCCCACTCTACCTGAACAAAAAATGGAAAAATGTCCTCGGGTGAGGATAAAAAAAAAAAAAAAAAAAGAATACTAACAAGCAATATATCAGTCTATGAAGAATGCTATAGTAAAAACAGATCCAATACTGGCGTATAACTAATTCTCATCAGAAGGCCTAGAAATAAATACTCCCAAAGTGGGCTCTTTCTGTTGGAGATTTCTCTTTAACCTTAATAAAGGTCAATGAGGCCAAATGCCTGGATATAGAAGGTGCTTCGGTGATTGCTCTGGGTGGGCAAGGGAAGGCTGAATAGCTCCTCTCTTCTGCTTCAGTAGAAGTAGCTCTGTTTTATACTATCAGTTCTGTGTTGTCATTTAACAAAAAGGATTTTGCTAATAAAACAAACTTGAAAACCACTCTCCTAGAATTCTGACCTCTAGATTTGTATATCTCAAATGACATTTAGTGTAGTTGAAGATTTTTTTAAAAACCTCTGAAACTCTAAGAATGAAACCCATTTTAAAAAGGAAATGGAAATTACCTGAAGTAATGGGATAAAATCCTCCTGTTCTAGAGAGCTGCAGCTGGGCTTTGCGAGAAGACAGATAAACTTAGAGGCATCATCGTGATGATTATTCAGCAATCTATAAAAGAAACAACTGCTTAGGAAGATTGGCTACTGTGAACAATGACTACAATGTCAACAGCTGGTAATTTCGGTCTGATCTGAAAGCCATTTAGAACAAGAATATTCTTTCAATGATTAAATAAAAAGGAATTTTTCCATTCTCTTGATTTTGTCAAAGGAACATCTAAATAAAAGCTCAATAACAAGATGGCGTATTATTTTTGTAGAGTGCTTCTGGAACTGAGACCACAGAGTCAACAGCACTAATGCAGATAACAATACCCTCGCAGGAGAACATCCCCTCAGGTTTAGCACAGAACACCTGGGACCAGAACTCCAGTGCTTCCCACCAGTCGGGAAAGGACCATTATGCACCACATGAGATATAAACTTCTGTTTGCCCAGAATGGCAGGCATATTGAGGGCCAACCTGATAGGTAGCTTTTGAAATTAGACTCTGAAGGATCAGCTTTAAAAAAAGGGGGTGGGGCCCATCTGTAATATTTTCAACAGTAAAGATAAATTTTAAAAAAGAATATCATATTAAGGCTTCGAACTCCAAGAATTCTTCACATCCAACTAATTTCTGGACATTTCCATTTGGATTTTATACTCTGACAGAAAAATCAAAGGATCAAAAACCACATTTAAAACTTTCCTCTTCAAGCGAATCCTTTTTATGGATGTCTACTTTTGTTAATGGTGGTACCATTCTGAGTTATCTGGGCTTGGAACTCGGAAGTTATTTTAGACTTGTTTCTCATTCTTATTCTCTGTAGCCAATTAGTTGCCAAATTTTCTTGTTTTCCTTCCTTAATTATTTATTGAATGCTAATTGTGTGTCAGGTACTGTGTCTGGCCTTGAGGATACTTGGGATACAAAGAAAATAAGATGCAGTTTTGTGCCCTGTGAGAAGCATATAGTCTAGGGAGAGAGCTACATCAATACAGTTATATTCCCATGGGAAAGTCATGGCAGAAGTAATGAGAGAGGATGTCATGGAAGGACCAGTGAGATTACCTAGAAGTGGGAAGTAGGAAAGAAGGTTGCTGTGGGTCAAGAGGGTCACATGTACAAATCCTGGTGTGAGAACGCACGGAACATTTGGGCAACTGCATGTGCTGGGGTGGTCAGAGAAGGAGACTTGAGCATGTTGGACTGGATCCTGCAGGCTCCTTTTATGTTAGATCAAGATGTCTGGACTTTAGCCTACTCCACAGAAGAATTTTCACTTGGACAGTGACATGACCAGATGTGTTTTTTCAGAAATATCAAGCAAAAATTCATCCAAGGGCTTGAGCATGGATACTGGCAGTGGAGATGGAGATAAAGGGGCAAATGTGGTTGAAATGAAAGGATGTAGTAGTTGATAGGTGTATGTGTGCAGTGTAGGTGAGGGGGTAAAAATGGGGAAGTCCATGATAACTTCCAGGTTTCTAGCTTGGACCACTAGGTGCTTGGAATACAGATGGGAATACTGGAGACCTGAAGAATATTTCCTCAAAATGTTTTAGGCAACTATTCCTTTCTATTTCCATTGCACCGTCAAGTCCAGTGTTTTATTTCTTCAAGCTGAGACTGTGAGAATGGTAGAGGGTCACAACAGGCTTCATTGCTCATCCAATCTTACATAGATACTTCTTCATTCTAAAGCATCCTTTGGTTATATAATCCCCCTTTTCAAAAATGGTTAGTAGCCCTCTTATCACTTAGATGAGTAAGTTTAAATGCCTAAGTTGGTCATTTAAGGCCCTTTGTAATTAGGCTAGAATTTGCCTATCTACCTATCTTACTACTTTGCTAAATGAAACTTAAGACTCCAGGCTGCTGGCGTAACCCACTGCGCTCTGAGTGTTTCATATGCATTCTTGTCTCTGTGCCATTTCTCATACTGTTCTACTCTCCTGGAATACCACCCCTTCCAGCTCTGCTATCTGAATGCTGGCTATTCTTTAAGGTCCGGCTAATAACCTACCTCTTCCAAAAAGCCTTTTCTGACAACTAGACTCCTTAGTGATCTTTGTACTATTTAATGTATATGTATTATATATACCACTGTACTTATTAGCTTTCATTGATCTCTCTGGCACATAAAAGGCAGGCAAAATTATAGCTCTTTTCCCCCTTAGCACCTAGCACAGCAACTTTCACAAAGAAGATTCTCAAGAAATGTTTGTGATATGACTAACAGATATATACTTAACTGACTTCATTTGTTGTTATTAAAGCTATAGTACAATATTCATATGTATCCTCCATATCATTCTTCAGCATGCTCAAGGCTGAGGAATGTTAAATAAATACACGTTTCAGAAAAAGATTAGGACAGTAGATGCTGATAGGAACCATCTCTGAGGACTGGAAAATGGGTGGGTTGATCACTTTCTCTTACTTTTTTATGTCAACGTGTCATTTGTTGATCACAACAAAAAGCCAGTGAGGTCTTTGGAAAGGAGTACTTTGTAAAGAAAGGACAGCACTACTAAATAAAACCTGCACAGAAATGACAGATGAAAGATTCTTTGAAAGGGAAAAGTCAAATCAGGTATAGTCCTTTGCTATTAGAAATAGAGGGAAAATACAAAGAAAAGGTGAATTATGATTTTCAGCCAATGCCAGTGGCTCGTGGACACTATATGGCAAGAGAAAGGAGATGATAAAAGTTGTGAAAGCTGGAGAAAGAAGGTAAACATAGTGATTCTAAACTGGTATCTTCTAGAGCTCTTAAGACAAAATACTGTTTTGCTAATGGACAAATGACATGTTGACATAAAAGAGTAAGAGAAAGTAAAGCATAAAAACCTGGAGCAATATTACTGACTCCATTTGAGAGAATCTACGCCACAAAGCTGGTAAATCTAGGACCTCAAACTTAACAAAACTGAGCAGTGTCTTCCCCCTAAAAATGTCCTCACTATAAGAAAAACATGTCAGAGTAGAAATATAAAATGAACGGTAGAGTAGAAAAGAAGGGAGGACAGAGGCAGGGGAATAAGGGCGCATTAGGTGTTTATCCGCAAAGCACCTAGATGGGGCTAGAAAGTGTCTATCCCAGAAGCATTGGGACAAAAGGGAAATTATTTCCTGTAATGCTGTGACTTTTGTATTTGACTTTTCTCCCCAAATTATATGGAGCCTATTACTGGAAGTCAGCACACATATGTGTATGTCAACATGCTTTGATTCTGTATCATTATCTGCCAGTTATTTTTGGACTTGAAAGTTTAATATACTCTAGTTTGGTCCAAGTTGCTTTATGGAAAGGGTACAATTTGTAAAAAAAAAAAAATTACAAAAATAAACACAGGTCTTTTTCAAGTTCAGTGTGGTAATTCAAACTATCATGCTTAGTTGCTTAATCTCCCAAAATAACCATACTTGGGGTCTTCCTTAAAGTATCTGGTTTTTAAAAGGCATTTTAAAAGCTAAGAGAGGAACTCCCACTAGAGAGCACTCCAACCATTTTATATCTGGCCAGAAGATAAAGCTTTGCTGTAGACATGCACTTATCTATTCAGAGAATTATTTTTAAGTGAAAAAAGATAGGGACAGTTGCTCATGCTATATAACGTCATAAGTAGTTTTTTCCATTTCCTAAAATGAAGACTTGTGCTTTATATCCTTTCCCCCCTTTTGCCTTTTGCAGAAATCTCTTTTCCTAGAGATAAAATTAAAATGATTCATCTCAATAAAGCTGTTGTGGCTGCTGCTGCTGCTGCTGCTCTACCAACCAACATAAATATCCCTCTAACTCAGTGACATAGTCTTAAGAAAAAACAACTGGCTGTTACTTTCCTCAACTATGCAGTTAATTGCAGGTAAGTCAAGTTGGATACTATGCTATAGTCAGTCTCCTGCTCACAAACAGGGTCCTAGAATATTCAAAATAACTTAGACTCTAAGTAGTTACAGTTCTTTTCTCTGGCTCTAATCTTTTACAGAATAGACTATTTCTTTTTTTTTTTTTTCAATTTACCAACAATCATAATTCACTTCTTGCTGTTTTCTTAGATTGCTAGGTGGTTTTTGCTAACAATGCTGAACTAAGATACCTCTGACAAATTATCCCTGGTTTACACTCCAGCTGAAGTCTTCTCAGGCTTGGTACCCACTAAAATGAAAGTTGCTATCTGAATGAAAGCTAGAACATCTACACATTTCAAGTTCCTGAATTCTGCTACTGTTATATGCTGATTTAAAAGAACAATGATTGTAATTAATAATACACAATCAGACCACCCAGCTGAAGTCCTGGCTTTAATGGTGGGGAAAAGGGAGGGAACCCAAGCCAACCTCCCTACTGTTTAGGCCCTAGGCTCTATTTTCTTTCCCCAGGTTCTGACAGAAATATTCCTAAGGCAAATGACAATTCCTATGCTGGTTTACACCTGGCTAATTAGTGTTTTGTTTTGCTTTGTTTTCTCCAAGTAATTCCCTTTTAGGACTGCTTATCCAGAAGAAGAAGAAAGAAGAAAGAAGAAAGAAGAAGAAGAAAGACATTTGTAGATTTTATCCAGTAGTTTTTTACTTGCTGTAGGAAAGCTGAAATGGTGATAATGGCCCTGACTTTGGAGTGTCATCCTGATGGTGTATGAGGAATGATTCTCCTAGGGCCCTTTTAGTCCTTGGTATCTGGACAATTTAGAACTACTCCCTGTAATAAAGTGACTAAAATCCACCTGGAAAACATGAATCACGCTTTGGTGTGGTTCTTCAAAAGAAGTTCATGAACTGGTAGTTTTATGCCCCCTGATTACTTTAGTAATGCACAAAGATCTTTGCAAACTCAACTAGCTACTAGATTTTAAAAAACAAGAATACATTTATTAATCACCTACTATGTTCTAAACATTATACTACTAAGCGCTTTTAAGTCTCATGAAGGGATTAAAAAGCCTCTGTAAACTGAATTCTGCTGCTACTGTATGTGGATTTTAAATAATGATGATAGGTGCAAAGTATTTCCCAACAATTTACCAGGAAGGGTATCTAAACCAGAAAACGTGAGAAGAACTTATATAAAGAAAGCTGATGAGTTAAAAGAGGTAGAAGGAGCAAGCTGTGACATGCTCTTAAAATGTATAAATATATCAAGAAATAACTTCTAAAGAAGAAAGCAGGGAGGGAAAAAAAAGAGAAAAAGAAGAAAGTTGGGTTTGAATTCAAGAAAACTTGTCAAGATGTTAAAATCCAGGAGTGTCTTGCTAAATGTACTATTTGTTTGTTTCTTAATTGGAGCTTTCAAAAAGTAATAATAAAAATTTATTATAATTCAGTTATTTTTAACAAATCAACTAGATACAATTCTAAACTGGATCATATGAGAATGGAAGCTGTATTTTCATGTGATATATGTGGTTTGCTCTTATGTCACTGCTGTTAAGAGTTAAATCCTAAGACCCAAATTTAACAAATAAAACTAAGAAACTATCTAATAGTTATATAAGAGGTATTTCTGAAGATCCGTTTTACTGCTTAGAGACATAAAATAAAGGCTTATGGAAAGAATTTGTGTGTGGCCTGGCCAGTGTGGCTCAGTGGATAGAGCATCGTCCTATGGACTGAGAGATTTCAGTTCGATTTCCAGCCAAGGCACATGCCTAGGTTGCAGGCTCGATCCCCAATAGGGGCGTGCAGGAGGCAGCCGATGGATGTTTCTTTCTCATTGATGTTTTTATCTCTCTCTCCCTTCCTATCTAAAAAAAATCAATAAAAACATATTTTTTAAAAAAAGAATTTGTGTGTGGGTATAAATGGCTGTGAATCACTGAATTTTACTTGTTGAAATAAAGGGTAAAGGAAAATTAATAAATGAATAAAATAAGTGACCTTTATGAAGCATGTCATGAGGACCAGACAATTCTTTGCCTAACTGCTCACATACTTACTTTCTCCACATGGCAATAAATGACTGTGCTGACACAAATCCTGTTTTCTCTCCCCCTGCAGCCCTGAACATGGGGGCTTTCCAATAGAGAGGGCAGCCACAGACCTGCAAATAAAACACAAATACAGTGTAAGCCAAGGGGCAGTGAAGAGATGACATGGCTAAAGAAAGGACCTTTGTGGCTTTTACTCTTCACGCCACAGTGGAGAAAAGGATCCTTGGGGGAGCAAAACTGGGACAGAGGCAAATATGTCAGAGAGACAGACAGAGGGTGAACAAAACAGAGGATTACATGTTTATTGAAAAAAAAAGTTAACCCATTTACCTTTTTTCCAAGTTCATTTATAGTGTGTTTCTCTATCCTATCCTGACTGGTTAGTCTTCCCCCTTCCTACCACTCTTACATTATATTTTCTACCTTCTAGAAAGAAAAAGAAATGACGGAAGGTCACGGTTGCTTATGCCCTTCCTTCTTATGGCAGAAAACTAGTTACCTTTGTTACTTGGTCACTTGGGGTTAATACACTCCATCTCTGTCTCCCACTCTGCATATTATGTTAAGCCCAGGTTCAAGAAGAACCAGAAAAGCCTCGACTGTTCAAGAAAATAGCTATCAAAAAGATTTAAATGGTTACAATTCAGGTAAAAGATAAAAGGTAAAAATCAAAATGCTACAGTTTATTTATGTATTAGAAGCTACCACAAATGACTACATATTATAAAAACCTTAGGAAGAGGAATCAATACAAAGCAACTACAATATCCTAAAAGATAATGATTTTTTTCTTCCTCAATAAAAAGCTTTCTTTCAATTAAAAAGTATTCTTATATCTTGTAAGAGTTCTTACCAAATTTACCAGTTTTTATCTTCCCTCTTAGTGATGATAAAAATATCTATGTATTAGTAGAGAAATAGTCTCTAAATGTTTCCAATTTTGTACATACATATAAAACATATTCCCAAATCTGGAACTCTTAAAAGATACATCTTATTATTAAAAAAAATTCTTATTATTCATATTAGATGTAGGATCTATTGAGCCTTTATCATTCTACAAAGGGAAGGTTCTTCATTGGAGGTTGACAAGATCTGAATCCACATTAGGTTCAAGTAAAGTTGCACCTAGTGTGAGCCCTTAGCGCATGGGGGGGTCCCCATAGAGACTGAAGAGAACCCAGTCTGCAATTAGTTATGCTGAGAAAACCCAAGGCTGCTGGGTTTATGTCAGAGAGGAGGATATGGAAGGTGAGATTCAAGCCAAGGGAGGTAAGTACAGGGCAGAAATAAGAGGCTGCTCCTGCCAGGGCCACTAAAGCATGTTCTGTAAGCAGGATGGAATTTAAGATTTTTTTTTTTTAATCCTCACCCGAGGACATTTTTCCTTTTGTTTTGTTTTGTTGTTGTTGTTCAGATAGAGTGGGAGGGAGAAAGAGGAAGAGAGAGAGAGAAACATCGACGTGAATGGGACACATCGAGTGGCTGCCACCCGCACGACCAACCAGGGCCGGGAACAAACTGCAACCGAGGTACATGCCCTTAGCGGGAACCGAACCCGGGTCTCTCTGGACCGCAGGCCGACTCTCTAACTGCTGAGCCAAAACGGCCAGGGCGGAATTTAAGATTTCTTAAGTCCAGAGTTCAGATACCTCCACTGAGGGAAAGGTGTTGCTTAGCAACCCAATGGATTGTTTATTGTATAAATTATAATTGCCAAGGTACAAAGCTCACAATTGATATAGTTTTGGTTATAAACTGTCAAATCCACTTTCCCCAATCCCAATCCTCCCTTTCATGCAGAATGGTGGTTTGCCAAGAAAATGCTCTTAGCAACTGCTGGGAAAGTTGAAAGAAAAGCCTGTATTATGAAGGTGGGGGTGCAGAGCCACAAACAGAAAGTACAAGGAGAGATTGGAACTGACTTGCCAAAGTACTTGAAACTCCCACCATTAGTCACTCATGGATTTTTCAGAATTGGAAGGGACTAGAAATCTTCTCGCTCAACCTTAAGAATTGGTCACCGGCCCCAGCTGAACACTTCCAAGGGCTGTGTGCTTATTTTATTCCCTTGGATTACAGTCTTTCCCCCACAAGACTCCTGTTAAAATGCATATATGTCAACTTGTAAGGAGTAATAAGTCACTGAGAGGTTAACACTTATACATTTATTATGACCCAAAGGCAAAATCCTAAGGGATAAGGTAGAGAATGATAAAGCAGACTGGGAAGGGTTGACCCATATTGCTCATAATGGGGTACCCTGAGTAAATAAGTGTTAGAATATCAGACCCTTGGAGAAAATGCCAGAGGAAAAAAATGATAAGGGCAGTGAATGGCAAGGGCTGCAGACATTACATTTGACTATTAAAAATAAAAATGTGGCTGGCCTACATCTGCTAAAAAACAAAGAATTAAGATAAAGGAAATCAGGAGATTAATACAAATTTAAAAAAGTAAACTGATATTAACCTCAGGACAATAGAATAGAGTCTATTTTTTTTTTTTTTTAACTTTATTGATTTTAGAGAGGGAGGAAGAGAGAGGGAGAGAGAGATGGAAACATCAATGAGAGAGAACATAGATTGGCTGCCTCCTGCATGCCCCTCACTGAGGATCGGGCCCACAACCTGGGCATGTGCCCCAACCAGGAATCAAACCGGCAACCTCTTGGTGCATGGGTTGACACTCAACCACTGAGCCACACTGGCCGGGCAGAAGTCTTTTGTAACAGAGAACAAGCCAGTGTCAAGACTTTTTACAAAGAAAGAGGATGGATGACAAGTGGGGGTGTACAGGGAGATGCAGAAAGTGGGTTTAGGAAACACAGGTGATAGGAGCAGGCAAGTGTCAATGTGGTAATCAAAACTGCTGAAACAAAGAAAACTTGATTAATACCTATAATATGATCTAAGAATGGTCTAACAACATAAAGAATTGAAAGCAAGGTTGTCTAATGATACACACAGGAAGAGATAATCACCAATATTTGTAATGTTCTTTAACATTTAAAAATGTCTCATCATGTTACTTCAGTTGGTCCTCTTGTGATGCCCATGCAGAAGAGAGCAGGCATTTCCATCCCATTCTGCAGCTGAGTAATAAAGGTTACAGAGGGCACCTTACATGCCACAGTTACAATGGGTCAAGATGATGCTACATCAACCAAGAGAGGGGCTGGAGGGCTTTGTATTCAGAGGACAGTTCCATCCTTTTTCCTCAACTTCCTGCCAGAGGCCCAGTCTCTGACAAATGCTTTTCTTACTGTTCTTCAGTTTATTTTTCTTTTCATTTTTTAAAAATATGTTTTCTTAATTTTTTTTTTTTATCCTCACCCGAGGACATTTCTGAATTTATCTTGAGGTAAAGTGGGAGGGAGAGAGGGAGGAAGAGAGAGACATTGATGTGAGAGAGAGACATTGAGGGTTGCCACCCACACGACCCTAACCGGGGCTGGGACAAACTGCAACCAAGGCATGTGCCCATAGCAGGATCCTTACCTGGATCTCCCTGGTCTGCGGGCTGACGCTCTAACCACTGAGCAAAACCTGCCAGGGCTTTATTGATCTTTAGACAAAGGAAGGGAGAGAGAGAGAAACATCGAGAGATTCAAAAATGGCGGCGGAGTGAATGGAAGCTACACAGACCGTGTCCCAGGACCAAATTGGAATTACAACTAAAACAGACAAATCGACGGGAAAAAGCAATAGAAAAGCAGCTTGCGAGAACCATATAACCAGGGACACTGACTCGATCCTGGTAGGACTGCAAAGGCGCGAGAGGGGGGCTGAGAGCCCACAGACAGCAGTGGCCTTAGCTGGGAGCAGTGCTCTCGGGTTAAAATCCCAAGTGGCTCCACAGCACAGAGCCGGGACAGAGGCTAAAATAGCCACAGCCATTCACCTTGGGCTCTGGCAGAAGGAGGGCAGACTGGACTGGAACTGTGTGGGGACACTCAGGATTTGGAGGGCACCCAGAGCTTTTGCTGAGTTGCAGCCACGCAGGATCGTGGCCATCTTGCTCCTTCCTGTGGGCCACTGAAATGCTAATTGAGGCTCATTAACAACCAGCACCTGCCCCACCCTCGGGAAATCGCCTTATGCTGAGCACCTGAGGGAGTTTTTCAATCAACTGACAACCCAAAACTCTTCAAGTAACCTGAACTGCTAGCCTCCAGACAAAAAGCTAGAAGATAACAGTACCTTTCCTGGGCTAGCAACTCTAACCAGGAAAGTAAAACTTGACAGTGGTGTTTAACAAGGGTCCTCCTTCACTCATCCAAACCCAGGAGAGGGAGCCACAAACAGCAGAACACCAATACCCACAGGGAAAACTTGGCAGGCTCCAAAGCCCACTGTGATAGCCAAAATGGTGAAACACAGAAACAAAAGCCAAATGAAAGAACAAGAGACCTCCACCGAAGATGAGATCAACGTGGAGCAGTTAGGCAAGTTAACAGAGCTAGAATTCAGAGCCATGATCTTGAGGAAGATCAACAGCATGAGTAAGGACATAGAGATGCTGAAAATCAACCAACTGAAAATTAAAAACGACCAAGAAGAGATCAAGAATGACATATCAGAAATAAATGATATATTAGAAGGTCTAAACAGCAGAGTAGAGGAAGCTGAGGACCGGATCAGTGAATTAGAAGACAGGGTAGAAAAAAAATCAACCAATCAGAAAACCAAAAGGAAAAAACGATTAAAAAACAGGAAGTCAGCTTAAGAGAACTGTGGGACAACTGGAAACGTAATAATATTCACATCATAGGAGTCCCTGAAGGAGAAAATGAGCAAGGGTTAGAGAATATATTCAAAGAAATAGTGACAGAAAACTTCCCTAATTTGGTGAAGGAAGAAGGCATTCAAGTTCAAGAAGCACAGAGAGCCCCAAGTAAGAAGAACCCAAACAGGCCCACACCAAGACACATAGTAATTAAAAAGCCTAAAAGCAGCAAGAGATAAGCAACAGGTTACCTACAAAGGAAACCCCATAAGGCTCTCAGCTGACTTCTCACAAGAAACACTACAGGTCAGAAGGGAATGGCATGAAGTAATTAAGGTCAGGAAAAACAAGGATCTGAATCCAAGACTACTCTACCCAGCAA